ACACTGTATTTAAATCTCCAATTTAAAGAAATACCTAGAGGGGTAAACTTTAAACTGTATACTGATTATTTTGCAACAAGCCAGCGCATAGTAAAAAAAAACAATCATTGGAACAAAGCAGGGCGTCGTCAGACCTTATACGCCTTAATGACCGTTGAGATCTAGTTGAGACGAGAAGGCCACGAGAATTGTTTCTGTCCATCAAATATTGTTCCGATCTCTGGCGCCATTTTACACAGACCAATAAAGCGATATTTTGGTGGCCATTTGGGTATTAAGCCTATTGAATAGCAAATTTTGTTGATCATCAACTGATGTAGTTGAAGTGGTGAATTGTCTTTTGGGTGGGGGAGTGAAATTTGTTATCGATTTGTCTAGAATAATCACAGTAGGAACAAACCAATGATACCAAAATATCGGACGTGTTTGTTTAATTTTGCAAACACTGTCATATTGTTACCGTGCTGCTTTAATCTAACAACAATCAAGATAATTATTTCATATCTAACCAAAATAACTGCAAACACGTATTTCTGTTAAATAAATCTTCCTGCGGGTTCCTGTGTCGCGTGGTACTTTTGTCCGGATTACGTCACAATTATCTGCCATTGTGTCGTCCTCGTTTTTTTAAGAACAACTACTATAATCCCAATGTTTGCAAGTTAACGTTTGACCCATCGTACCGTGAACTCCTGGAAATGTGATGTCGCTTTGTGCAAATTTGGGGAGAGGTGGGTTATTACGAACCTCGAACGAGCCTGCTGCTTTAGTGACGCAATCGGACAACGTACGGCGAGCACTTGAAACCCACACATCATCTATTCGTATTGGCATTTCGCGTGCACATTGATATTACGAACACGTACTACACAGCAACTACAGAATCAGAACGAGAAACGTGCTGTAACGGGGGCGAGAGATCAATGAAATACACGTGGCCGTGAAATGATGGGCCAATTAACATTGTCTCTCGGTTCTATCGGTTCAGTTCGTTCCCGTGATATTAGTTTATCTTCTTCTAAGGGGTTATCCAATCTAAATCTTAGGTGGCTTTATTATTACTGAAAAAAGAAATAAGAAAAAAAAAGACAGACAGACCCAATCCGAATTCCTACGTAGTAAGTGCGTGGGTCAGCAGTGGACGCAATAACAAATATACCAAAGACCTGCTGCACAACCAAATATAAATATGCTTGCTGTGTTTTACTTTTGATAGACCTGGTTTATTTAATTCAGATTTTGTTTGAATGCCATTCATACATTCTTCTATGTTTCAATATGTTTTGTCGAGTAAATGCAAAAAATAGAGGGATTCTTTAACATGCAAATTTTGAGTCATCCAATTCAAATATTCGAAAAAAAATTCTTCTAAATTCCATTGCTACGTGTTTTACATGGGCGAGGGAGGGGCTTTCAAAGAACATGTTTCAACTTATACAGCGGGACGAATTCACTGCATACGGCCGAGAACTCTAGTGACCACTGATCATCCGGGTTATTGACCTCTTAACATCTTGGCACGTGACATGTTAGCATACATATACCTGATACGCATCGACATGAAAACGACATTCCAATCTTTTAATATATGTTGAACAACAATATTTATTTTGAAACATAAAAAATAAAATAGAATAATATTGAGGCAATAGAAAAACTCATTTTTTTTTTTCGAGCAAAAGTGGAAAAATAATAGGATAACAAAACAAAATGTAAGCGTTTTTAGGTTTTATTGGTTCTTGGAGCTGGATGTTGTAACACATTGAGTAGAAGTAACTAACAATATATTCTATGTATTTGGTTACTGCAAATGATCTACCTATCAACACTGGACTAATGCATATACGTCATAATAAGGCTAATGGGTTAAAGATCCACGAATAAGTAATTTTTTTTTTAAATTTATTTCAAATACAATTGTACACAAATAAATAATTAAACGTATACAGAACGTTGTACGTGACATACCATTGATGTAAACACTAA